ATGCTTGCCAAAGGTTCCTAGGAAGGTCCTGCATATGCACTAACCAATGTTCGGGGAATACAGTTGCTATCCCGGCTTATATCTTGATCAAACAGTTTGTTGCATATTTGTGACAGTCAGCGTTAAGGGGTTAAAGGGATCAAAATAAATGGTAAAATGGTCAAGAAACCACTCACCCATTCACACACACACACATTCTTTATAGTATATCACAGTTATATACAAGAGGTCGTGAGGAAACAGTGCAAAGATGACGTGTTTGAAAGTTATATTTGATTCTATGGAAGTGATTATTCAAATGTGCACTGCGTAACTTTTCAGGTTTGAGGAGTCCGCTACTGTGGGGATACTATTGCTTTACCTCCGATATTCCAAAGCACGTCATTAAACTTATCAATCTTCACAGAAACAACATCATTTAAATTTTAAAATATTATAAAAATATAATAATTTGTTTTTGCACTCATCAGGTCCCAATCAGCCCAAACAGAAGAAATGAAAAAAATCAATAAAGCCTGCCATGCAAGAGTTCAGGTCTTAGGAGGCTAAAGGTATTTTTGAGCAATAAAAACACCCATAACTGAATCTTTGCATCTTATATATGTTTAATACCATACTGTGGAACATTACAGGCAAAGCAATAGCATCTCCATGGTAGCAGACGATCCCGAACCTGAAAATTTACACAGTGCACCTTTAAATAACACACTTGCCTAAAATCAAATGTATCTATTGGAGCAGAGAAGCCACATTTTTTCACAAAATTTTGTCAACAAACTGTCAAAACATTATTAATTTACATTTACAATGACTTATTTTTAGAGTTCAAAGCACTGGTTGCTGGAATAATACTATAGTAATCACAATGTATTAAAAAAGTCAAGTAATTGAAGTAATCAGGAGGCCAACAGTTGGTGCTCTACATTTTCAGGACTCAGTTGTGCGTGTCCTGGTGGTTTGACTTGTGTAACGCACCGTGAACTGTGGTGATTTTGGCCAAGCGCCGTAAAACTGTGGACTTTATCTCAAACGGAAACAGCTGCTGATAAGTGGCACACGCTTTCTCAACCTCTACAGCACAAACACACTGGGAAATACTCAGAAAATCGACTCATGTTACTTTAATAGACAAAATGGCGCTATTATCATGTTTTTTTATGTTTATGTATTGACCATTTGCAGCTGGCATTCTCTGGGTGTGACGCTAACTGTAGACATGCTCTGTCTGAGGGTTCGTTAGAGTTTAATCTGAGACTTTAATCTATTTTTTGGTTGAAAAATTTGATAGTAAACTGATTAAAGCTCCTATGTTATACAAAACTGACTCTTGTGAGCTTTTAGTCGTGTTATAATGTTATTACCTCCTCAAAAACAGATCTGGAGTTGTATTTTGTTTCATTCACACATGTTTGAGTAATCTTTTATTATTAGTCCAAAGCTCAAAATGCTCAGTTCCACTTTGTGATGTCATGAATTGGTAGTTTTTAGCTACATTTTGCTGTATTTTCAGCAGAAATTAGGACTTCCAGGGCTGAAATTATCCAAATGATTAGAGTAAAAGTGTGTGGAGTTTAAAAACACAATGGAGCACTTCCTGTATCACCACATGACATCAGAAGGTGCACAGAGTGTTTTCAGATTGAGAGAAGAGCTCAGCCTAAATACGCAGGGTTTGTGTGTTAAACATGTGTGAATGAAACAAAACACAAATATTGTAAAAAAAAAAACAAATACTGTAATATACTGTATTTATACTACAATATTTGTTTTTTACTTACTGCGCATTTATATCATTTATGTCTTATTTGACACTGGGTATCGTTAAGAATTTGCTGATACGATACACATCCCGATACATAAACCACGATACGATACATATCTCGATACCTAAGCCACGATACGATATACATACCTCAGTACATAGGCCACGATACGATACATACCTCAATACATAGGCCACGATACAATACATACCTCGATACATAAGTCATGATACGATACATATCTCAATACATAGGCCACGATACGATACATAAGTCACAATACGATACATACCTCGATACATAAGTCACGATACGATACATACCTCGATACATAAGTCACGATACGATACATACCTCGATACATAAGTCACGATACGATACATATCTCGATACAGTGAGCTTTCGATTTGATTTGATTCGATATGGTTCAATAAAAAAATAAAGGCTAAATCATGGCTGTGATACTAAAAGTCTTTGTTAAACCACTTGTTTGTGCAAAGTTCATCATCAAAACAGTGAAAATGTCAAATGTGTCGCATAAACGAGTTTCCTTCCTCTAAACAAGCAACAAAACTGTAGCGCTGTAACAAAATAATTTCATAAAATAAATCAAAAAAATACTCTTGGCGATATATCGATACAGCAGACCGTGATATCGATACTGTAACATCACATTAAATGATACGATATATTGATATTTCAATATTTTTGCACACCCCTATTTGACACCAGCTTTTTTTTTTTTTTTTTATTGCAAATTATTTAGAAGTTTATTACCATTTTAATATATTTTACTCTTTGTTTTTGCATTATAATGTGATGGTATAATGTGGTTTCCCTTGTGGATAAAAAAAATTTGTCTAACACAACTCCAGGTGTGTTTGTGGCGAGGAAACAACATTTTTGATCAGAAAAGTCTGCAGTTACATGTTTTTTATTACTGTATATGTTGACATAGTAATGATACATTAACAGCAAAATCATATGTTTTCTTTCTCATCATGTCCTCCTTGTTTACTCATCATATTTTGAGGTTTACATCTCATTTAAATAAACTTAAAGGTCCAGAAGTCTTATTATAATCAGATTTCGGTATGCGTTATAGTCGTTTGAGGTCTGAATGAGTTTGACTTGTTTGTGGAAGTCAGAACAAAATACCACCGGTGGCTCGTTCCCCACTATAAACATTTCAGCTTCTATTGGAAAAAAAGATGAAGAAGATTTATGATGATCAGAGTGAGTGGAGCTGTGTTTTGTTAGTGACTAGGGGCTAATGGGATTTCCTCATTACTGCGTTTTATTGATGTAATTAAAGCACAGGGTCGTTCACGATCATTGACAGAGGTGTGGAGACCGGCAGCTTTACAGAGCCCGTCCTAATGCTCTGTTTACTTTAGCTACAATTAACAGAGAAAACATAGGTTGGAATTAGCATAGAGGAAAAAATGCCGACTTCCAAGGAAAGTGGAAGATGTGTGGAGGACCTGGTGTAGAGACGATTGGAGGATTGGAGACTTGAGCTGATAAGAAATGTCTGTGAAGTAATCTGATAACAATTAACAAAAAGATGCTAAAGTGTAGTTTGAGCTTATCTTGTTTAAGGTCAAAATGTATCTTGTTTTTATTTATTTTAAAGGTCCTAAAATTGACTCTTGTGAGCTTTAAGACATGTTATAATGTTGTTACCTCCTCAAAAACATATCTAGAGTTGTGTTTTGTTTTGTTTCATTCACACACGTTTGAGTAAAACTTTATTTTTAGTCTACATCTCCAAAGCTCAAAATGCTCTATTTCACCTTATGATGTCGTGTAGTGGTTAGAGGTGTGCAAAAATATCAAAATATCAATATATCATTTCATTTCATGTGATGATACAGTATTGATATCAGGGAAAGCTGTATCGATATCGCCAAGAGTCATTTTTTGTATATTTTACTATATTATTTTGTTACAGTGCTACAGTTTTGCTGCTTGTTCACAGGAAGGAAACTCGTTTGTGCGACACATTTGACATTTTCACTGTTTTGAGGATTAAAATGTTTGTGTTTCATATGAACTTTGCAAAAGGAGTGGTTTAACAAAGACTTTTAGTATCACAGATATGATTTAGCCCAAGGTTCTCCAACCTGTAGCTCGGGAGATACCAGTAGCTCTCCCCCCTCTTCCAAGTAGCTCGCCACGGGATTTCAGAATTATACATATTGCACTGAATAACTCAAATTTGACTGATTAAATGCCTGTTTTCCTTGTAAATGTATCACTTTGATGCCTAATTTTGTGGATAATGGCTTATGTTTTGTAGACATCTAACTGTACCTCATTTTCGGCTTACCACGGCTTTTATATTTAAAAAAAATTCTGGCGACTGGTAAAATGAGTAGCTCTCTGGCATTTTAGTTTTACATTTCATAGCTCATAGGAGGAAAAATATTGGAGACCCCTGATTTAGCCATTTTTATTGAACCGTATTGAATCAATTTGAAATATATTGTACTGAACCAAAAGTGCACTGTGTTGAGATATGTATCGTATCGTGGTCTATGTATCGAGGTATATATCATATTGGCAACTTCTTAATGATACCCAGCAGAAGTTGTAGAAGTTTTCAAGTTCACAGCTCCTTTTACCTTTAGTTCAGTAGAGTACCTATTACCACATGAATGTAGTTTGAAATGAAATGAAAATAAACTATAATGCCAAGGGGATAAATGTAAATAAATAAATATATAAATAAAAAGTAAAACATTAAATATATGCAATTTTCACATTCGATGTTATATTTCTGTTTAGAGCAGAATGTTACATGATGCCGTTTAAGAGTCATAATTTAACCTGAAAAGTGCATCCTGAAATTGTAATACATTTTTATTCTGAGCAGTGTTTAAATAAAATACAGTGTTGTTCAGGTCTACATTGGCCATGTGTCTGAGTGTCCGCTAAAAGAGGGTCTTTCTGTGTCCCTCCCTCTGCTCCTCGTGCGCCTCTTTTCTCCCTCTTGTTCATTTCAGACCATTGTCCTCGTGCAGCAGCGGCACTCCAGGAGCGTGCGTGAGCCGCTTGCGTGCGTGTATGCGTGCGCGCCCTCATGAGCGTCATTCATTCACTCTCTTTCTCCCTCCTCTCTCTCTCTCTCTCCCTCCTCTCTCTCTCCCTCCTCTCTCTCTCACTCTCTCTCTCTCTCTCCCCCACCTTCTCTCTGCCGCTGCACGAGCTGCTTTTACACACCAGCCTCGCGCAGCTCTGGGGCAGACCATTTGAGAGCGAGCAGCGCGAGGACGTGCCGCGTATATACGCACGAGCACCAGCATTAGAAAAGTTACGCACGGTCATCTACAGCAACTTTTATCAATTACCTGAACCGGTCCGTGAGTCTTGAGCGCAGAAAGTGGATGTTTATCTGATTTTGGACATTTTCTTCCAGTTGTTTTTGGGGCAATACGAGCCCGGACTTTGCACCCTGCGCCCATCGCTTGTTTTGGATGGATTTATAACATTTTTTAAAGGAACCAACCAATAATTTTAGCTGGATTGGAGACTGTTCACAATCAACAAAAACTGTTTTTTGGATACGTCTCGGGACAAATGTGGAGTTTAAGACCGAGGCGAGAGGACGCGGAGTAGCCCCGGGACGAGGTGGGTGAGCGGGGGAACCTACGCCTAGGGACAGCTGCGGCTCACCAGGAGCTCCGGCTCTGATTAAACCAAAACAAAACGCGTTTTTCACACTTGGAACCGCTGTGTGTTCTGAGACAGGCTTGTTTTCCATTAGTGAGGTGCCAGAGTCAGAGGTAGTGATTGTGTTTGGGCTTTCGCAATGAGCTTTCATTCATTGGCGTCTCTCAGATATTTACAACTGATTACGACGTCTCCCCAATCAGCTCCGTAATGAGATAAGCTATTTCACGGAACCGCGACGTTTAAACACAACTTCATGTCAAATTGCAAAGTGTTAGTGGAGCTGTTATTGAGATTATAAACTACTTTTGAACAATAGTTTGCTCACAACCCTTTTTAATCGCTTATCTTTTCTCTATTCGTGCGTCTGTGATTGTGCATCTGGAAATACATTGATTATTTTCCATTGTTGGGCTTTTGTGAACCACTATTACACTGTCTCCATTGACGTGTGCTGTCAGTCAAACCCTCTATAATGTAATTTTATCCCGTTATTATTACATTCCCAGCATAAGGTTTGGTTATTTAGTGAAGCAGATGGGTCGGTTTGCACAGAGGGAGGCTGCAGAGAGGAGGAGGAGGAGGAGGAGGGGGAGAGGTTTTTTGGAGGGGGGTAGAGGATTGCTCCATGTATTGACTTGTCATTTGCATTGTAAACTAGAACAACCACGCCACGGCACATTTTACATTTCAATTCCACATTGTTAGCCAGCCCTGGTTGGGAAACACTGGGAGGTTAGACATTGGACTTCAGCTGGGGCTTGGACTCTGACCACAAACCCACAAGATCTTAACAACTGGAAGAAGAAAACTGTTTAGGGAAAAGAGGAGACTGCAAATGGGTAAATACTGGAGACAAGACTTGGTTTAGACCTGGTTGGCACTGATTTTGAGTCAAACTTAGTCCTGGTGTAAGATGGGAAGGCTAATTCTGATTTTATGCATGATTTGATTCTCGCGGCAATGGAACGGTGTAATCTTTATTTAGTCCTATCTCAGATCCACTTGATTCCTGGTCTAGACTTGGTTTTCGTGCAGAGAAGTCTTGGATTTAGTCCTGATTTGGCACTAGATTAGTCCCGCTTTAAGATGAGCGAGATAATTATGATTGAATGTTTTTCGGTGTACTTTGATTTGCACATAAATCGTACACAGTCTAATCTTTATATAGTCCTGTCTGAGACCTGTTCAGTTCTGGTTTGGTTCCTGGTCTAGACTTGGTTTTGGGTCCCAATTTAAAACAGTTTTGTGTGTCATCTTGGTTTGGTGCAACTTAACGCCACGTACTTATCACATTTATAATATCGTTCTTTTTCCAGTAGCAAAACTGGTGGAACATAACAAAGTAAAAGTAGTAAAGTACTGCAGTTAAGTATAAATTTAACCTGTACTTTACATTTTACTGTGGATACTTTTTACTTTTACTTCACTACATTTGAGAGCAGCTATCTGTACTTTCTATTCCATTACATTTTTGAACAGAACTGAAAAGTAAAAGTATTTTTTTTTTGTATTGTTTTGAAGAAAATACTTTATTTTTAACATGTTAAAAGTTTGAGCAAAGAAAAATAGCCAAGGAAAAAAAATGACAGATTCAAGTGTTTCTACTGAACAAAATTCAGCACAAATCATTACCAAAATCACAAAATTTTAAGCTTTATAAGACCTCAAAATCGACGTGAAGTTCTTTTACTTTTTACTCTTTAAGTGTGTCTTCAGTACTTCTACTTAGGTTGATTTTTCATGTGCTACTTTTACTTTTACTTGAGTATTTTCTCACACTGGTATCTATACTTTTACTTAAGTGACAAAATTCTGATCTTCATGTATGTTAGCTTTCAATCTTAACCTTTCAGAACTTGCTGCTTCTGTCCTTGCTCAGTATTTTTGGCAGAATTAGCCGGAGTGAGAGGGTGCCGTTTGGGTATAGGAGCTTTCCAGGCTTTAATTGGGAGAGAATGGGGCTCATTCACTGGAGACTTGTTCATTAAAAGTGCACTGCTGCCTCAGACCTGGCGCCTGCCGTTCACCACATGTTGATTTTTCCAGGGTAGACCTCCCCAAAAGGCACGCACACAAAATATAAAGAGTCTTAGTTTCAACCTGAGCTACAATCAGCCCACTTTTCTCGCCATAGGAAGCGATTCATTGAAAAAACGAAGACGTAGGAATAAGCAGATTTCAAGTTTGGACGTTTCATTTAAAGGAGCATTGTGTAACTTTTCTGGTGGAGGTTCCGTCACACACTTTTTTCTCTGAATATCTACAGTAATTTCTTTATCTGGAATGTTCCACAGTATGAAATTAAACAGCTCTACCTTACATTTACTCAATTATAGTGGTTTTATAGTTCAAAAATACCTTGAAAAACAGGCATTCTGACTGTGAGCGGGGTCGCCTCTCCACAGATCTGACCTGTAACTTGGTTTGGAAGGTTTACTACCACACTGTGAAACATTAGACTTAGACTTAGACACATTTTATTGATCCACAAGGGAAATTATTTGGACACAGTAGCTTACATATCACAAAACGTCCAGACAAAGCAATAACATCTCAAGGAAAGTTACACAATGCACCTTTAATAATGATAATAACACATTTTATTAGTCTAAGAAGTCCAATATTACACGAAATTGACTCTTGTGAGCTTTAAGTCATGCTATAATGTTGTTACATTCTCAAAAATAGACCTGGAGTTGTGTTTTGTTTCATTCATGTTTGCATTATTTCTTTCTTTTTTTCCTTCTTATTTCTTTTTACATCTCCAAAGCTCAAAATACTCTGTTCCAAAGTGCTGTGTTTATTCGTGTTTTCACCAGCGAGTCCAAAATATTGATGAAATTGTATGCTTAAATGTTAACATGCAGGATTTATTCTTACAGTTTTATATAGATTATCATTGTCAAAGATTTAACAGTATTATCTTAAAGTTTTATAGCTCAAAAACACCTAGAAAAACACACATTCTGACTGTGAGCAGGGCTGCCTCTCCACAGATCTGACCTGTAACTTGGTCTGGCTTAGTCTCCATGAAGATAGAAAGGTTTAAGACCATCCATACTGTGACACATTCCAAACAGAGCAATAGCATCTCAAAAAAAAAGAAAAATTACACAATGCATTCACCTTTAAGTCAATGCAAATCTACCTCTAAAAGTACTTTAAATCCCGTAATTGTAATATTAACATCCATTTTAAGTAATCTATGCTGCCAGTAGAGGCATAATTATTTAATCCGATAGTAAGAATGTTTCTAGGCAGCTCTGGAGTGTTTTGGTCCAATTCAAACCCATTGTCCAAACTGTGCCCTTAATGCACATTATTCACAGCTCATTGGGCTCCATTTGAATTGGACATTAACCTGTGTGTGTGTGTTTGTGTGTGTGTGACCGGCGCGTCTCCGAATGTGTTTAAATATTCACGTGTCTAGTAAAGTCCAATGTACATGACAAATAACATGGCATTGAGAATAGTTCATTTTGTTTGTAGTCTAAGTTAAAGGTCCCATATTACAAAAAAGTGACACTTGTGAGGTTTAAGTCATGTTGTAATGTTGTAACTTCTTCAAAAATAGATGTGGAGTTGTGTTTTGTTTCATTCACACATTTGAGTAATCCATTATTATTAATCTGTCTACATCTCCAAAGCCCCAAATGCCCTGTTCCACCTTGTGATGTCATATAGTTCAAGTTAACAGCTCCTTTTACCTTTTTTGGAGTAGAAATGGACAATTCCAGGGCTGAAATTATCCCCAGTGATTTCAGTGAAGGTACGGAGTTTAAACATAGAACTATAATAAATCAAATCTGGAAGATGAATCCAAGATGGTGCCGTATTGTTTTCAGTGGTCTGTGCTCATTTAACTTGATTCATCAGCCGGTTTCACTTCGTAGAAACCATCTGACCTCGCAGCGTTAGGATTTGTTTGCTTGACTGTAAACGGGTACTTTTTTTATTTAACCAATCGCTGCTATTTCGTCGTGACATATGTAATGCACCGAATTCCCCTTGATAAAATTCACCAAACATTCTCTTTATTCCGGCTTTAAATCCTCGATCTCGGGAATCGTTGACAACACAGAATGTATGGCTCTTCGCTCTTGGCTGGTGCCCGAACTGCACTTCTAGGCTTTTTGCGAACCGTCTAGTGTATTTTGATTCCTGACCTTGTTGCTGGAGAGAAATGAAATGGAGTGGAGGCACTAGGCGGCGCCAGCCTGGCTACAATGGCGCATGGGCCCCAAAAAAATTTCACTTCCGCATTTACTTCCTCAATCCGGGCGAGCTCCTCCCACCCGTGTGACATCTGTAATGTACATGGCGTGGTTAGGCTAAGTCTTACAAACAAAATTTTTGGCGCCTTGAGGATTTTAAAAAGTTTATGTTGTGAAAATAGAAAAGAATCCCCACAAAATCTAACCTAAACTGAACACGGACCGTTTGAATTCCCAAAAAATGCACCTTGCTTTTACAGAGCTGCAGTACCTGGAGCGGCCACTAGTCGGTCTCGAGCCAGGACAGAGCGTAAATGCCTCATCCAGTTTTTATTATAGATCCATGAGTTTAAAAACACAGTGGAGCACTTCTTGTAGTACCACATGACATCATGAGGTGGAACAGAGTGTTTTCTGTTTGAGAGAAGAATTCAGCCTAAATATGAAAGATTTGTCTGGATTCTTCCATAGAAGGTCGTAGTGAGTGGTCGCTTCTCCACTGATCTGATCCATACCTCGGCCTGGTGGCATCTCCTGCTCGTCTCCATGGCAACAGATACATTTAGGCAAGAAAACTGTCGTTGTGTCCTTAGGCAAGACACTTCACCAGCATTGCCTAGTATGAAAGAGGTGTGAGCGTGAGTGACGGTGGTGGTCGGAGGGGCCGATGGCGCAGATTGGCAGCCTCGCTTCCGTCAGTCTGCCCCAGGGCAGCTGTGGCTACAATAGTAGTTTACCACCACTGAGTGTGGAGTGACTGAATAATGAACTGTAAAGCGCTTTGGGTATCTTGAAAGGCGCTATATAAATGCTATCAATCAATCAATCAATAAATCAATTTAATGCCTGGTTTGGTTCAGCGTGGTCTTACTGAAACTGAGCCACGAGTCTGTTCTAGTTTGCTTTGCTAGACCGATCCTGGTTTGGTCCCATTTCGAGTCCAGATCAGATATACAGTCTAAAGGGTTTAGTCCGAGTCCAGTCCAGGTTTCCAGGTGCTAAACGCTGCTAAATTTAACATCTTTAACTCTGACCTCTTTTTCCATTTCAGGTTTTCCGAGGTCTGTCCGATGCCTTTTTCCGGACTGTGGTTCTGAGGCGGTCTCCAGCCTTGGTCCAGTCCAGGTCCAGTAGTTCTTTGGTGGGATCCTGTCAGTACTTCGCTGGAACCATGTGCGGGCTAAAACTGGTCTTGGTCCTGGTTCCGATCCTTCTCCCGAGCCTGTTCTCCTCAGTGACCTGCAGATCCGTCGAGCACAAGAACAAAGGTAAGACATAAGTTTAAAAATATAAAAATACCGTTTTCAAAAGTCATATTTGTCAGATTTTTCTTTTGAAACCTATAACAATTTTCACTTTTTAAACAGAAAAACTGGACAAAAAAGTGTTTAGCTTATTTATTTGCACTGGTGGAAGGTAATGAAGTACAAAATTAAAAGCTAAATACTTAAGTACATCCCTTGGACCCCATACTAGACTAAGTTACAGGTCAGATCTGTGGAGAGGCGACCTTACTCGCAGTCAGAATGCATGTTTTTCTAGATATTTTTGAGCTATAAAACTACCTGGAATTGGAAAAATGTAAAATAGAGCTGTTTAAAGTCACACTGTGGAACATTCTAAGCAAAACAGTGACATATCCGTAAAAACACGCAGGTGACGGATCCCAAAAAAGTTCCACAAGGCACGTTTAAGTACATTTTACCACTGATAATTTTTACTTTTACTTCACTACATTTGACTTTTATGGTTTAAGAGCTGCTGAAAACAATGAGGCTTATTTTTAACACATTTAATTTGAGTTAATGCCCCGACTTTGAGCAAAACCAAACACACAAAAACACAAAACACCTGCAAAAATTAAAACATCAACTCCTGAATCACTTAAAATCCACTAAATCCACTAAACACATGATCAAAATCACCACATTTTATCCTTTAATTGTTCTGAAACTCTTTGCGAAACACTTTTACTTTTACATTTTTAAACAGATACTTTTAAAACTTTTACTTAAGTAGTTTTTTCAGGTGATACTTTTACTTTAATTTAGTAACTTTTTAGTTTTATATCTGTATTTTCACTTAAGTAACAAAACTGAGTACTTCATCCACCACTGTCTATTTGATATTTGGACTGTATTTTTGTGGAGGAAAATGTGTAAAATGTGAAAATTGTGTAATACTAGAACAAAAACTGGTGATACAATTTAAAATGTATGCTTCTAGTGTTGTCAAAACAATCCACAACTAACTGAATTTCATTTGTTATCAGTGCGTTTTGATTAATACCTTAAATTAATGACATTTATACTGAAGTATTTGACGGGCGTTCCACCAGAAAAGTTACGCAATGCAGCTTTAAATGTTACTAAATAAAATGATTTAAATGCTCGTGCCTGTGGGAATCGCTGTGACCCAGAACACATGCTTCTGAAAGTGCAGTTTGTCCTCTCCAGGCACCTGTAGAGATTAGTAACAGGAAGTGTTTTTAACATTTGACAGCTGTGGTCCATTTCAATGCCAGGACTCAGATGGTTCAGAGATAGAGTTTAGTCCTGACTAAGTCCTGGTTTAGTTCTTGCTTGGCTTTGGTTTAGACCTGGTTGAGTCCTTCTGGTACAGCCCTGACTTAGTCTTAGTTTACTTTTTGATTAGACCTAGTTTAGTGCTGGGTAAGTCCTGGTTTAGTTCTTGCTTGCCTCTGGTTTAGACCTAGTTTAGTACCTAATAGACCTGGTTTATTCCCTGGTGTAGTTTCTTGGGTAGACCTGGTTTAGTCCTTGGTTTATCCCTGGTTTAGTCCCTAGTTTAGACCTGGTTTAGACCTGGTTTAGTACCTGGTAGACCTGGTTTAGTCTCTAGTTTTGACCTGGTTTAGCTCTGGTTTAGACCTGGTTTAGTCCCTGGTTTAGACCTAGTTTTGTTCCTGATTTAGACCTGGTTTTGTCCCTGGTTTAGACCTGGTTTAGTCCCTGGTATAGACCTGGTTTAGACCTGGTTTAGTTGCTGGTATAGGCCTGGTTTAGTTGCTGGTATAGGCCTGGTTGGTCCCTGGTTTAGACTTGGTTTAGTCCCTGGTTTAGACCTGGTTTAGTCCCTGCTTTAGACCTGGTTTATTCCCTGGTGTAGTCTCTTGTTTAGACCTGGTTTAGAACTGGTTTAGTCCCTGATTTAGACCTGGTTTAACTCTGGTTTAGACCCAGTTTAGCCCCTGGTTTAGACCTACTTCAGTCCCCGGCTTAGTCCCTGGTTTTGTCCCTGTTTTAGACCTGGTTTAGTCTCTGGTATAGGCCTAGAGTAGTCCCTGGTTTAGACCTGGTTTAGTCCCTCGTGTAGACCAAGTTCAATCACTGGTTTATTCCCTGATTTAGACCTGTTTTTTTTTTTGTTTTTGTTTTTGTTTTACATTTGACAGCTGTGGTCAATTTGAATTTCAGTCCTTCAATGGCTCACAGATAGAGAGTTTTTGCCTCGCTTTGTTGTTTTCTTTTAGAACAAGATAAGCTTCTTTCTTCCAAATCTCCCTCAGAAGTCTCGGGTTTCCTCTCCAGAACCCCGCAGACAGTAGCCCTGCATGTTTTTACACAAACGCTGACACTCAATGCTACACAACTCACCGATAAAGAGCTCAGATAGTGCCGGACCCCGGGCTCCACAGTGCCATCCATTCACCGGGGTCCACGTGCACGCCCCTCTGCTCACGTGCGCGCCCCTCCGCTTCCGTGCGCGCGTACAGAGGGGCGTGCATGGGCAGTTAGTGTAAATGAGCCGTTTTTCCAGGGCAATTTTCGATGTGATTGCTTCCTGCGGTGTTCGTTTAGTGAAAAGGTGATTTGTGGGTTTGCAAGGGGAAAGGGGAACAGAGCTCGAGGAGGTAATGACTTCTGAGAGAGGGGGGGGACTAAACGAAAAAAACAACAAAAAAACTAACAAAAAAAAGACAAAATTGTACAAGCAAGAGGCTGACTGAGATAGGAAGATTTTTGTTAAGTTTTGTTTTAGATTTTAATTTTGGTATGAATTTATTGTTAATTACTCAGATTATTTAGCTTGTCCAATCCTGGTGTAGTCCTGGTTTAGTCCTGGTGTAGTCCTGGTTTAGTCCTGGTTTAATCCTGCCTTAGTCCTGGTTTAATCCTGGTTCAGTTCTGATTTAACCCGGGTTTACTTCTTGCCTTTTCCTAGTTTAGTCCTAGTTTAATTCTGGTTCAGGCCTGGTTTGGTCCTTTCTTGGCTCCAGTTTAGACCTGGTTTAGACCTAGTTTAGTCCCTGTTCAAACCTGATTTAGACCTAGTTTAGTTCCTAGTTTAGATCTGGATTAGTCCCTGATTTAGACCTGGTTTAGTCTCTGGTTTAGACCTAGTTTAGTCCTTGGGTTATACCTAGTTTAGTCCCTGGTTTAGACCTGGTTTATTTTCTGATTTAGACCTGGTTTAGTCCCTGGTGTAAACCCGGTTTAGTCCTTGGTATAAACCTGATTTAGTCCCTGATATAGACCTGGTATAGAACTGGTATAGACCTCGTTTAGTCTTTGATATAGACCTGGTTTACTTGCTTGTTTAGACCTGGTTTAGTCCCTGGATTTGTCCCTGGGTTAGACCTGATTTACTGTCTGGTTTAGTTCTTGGTTTAGTCCTTGGTATAAACCTGATTTTCTCCCTGGTTTAGTCCCTGGTATAGACCTAGTTTAGTACCTGGTTCAAACCTGGTTTAGACCTAGTTTAGACCTGGTTTACTCCCTGGTTTATAGGCCTGGTTTAGACCTGGTTTAGTCCCTGGTAAAGACCTGGTTAAGTCTCTGGTTTAGTCCTGCTTTAGTCCCTGGTTTAGACCTGGTTTACTCAGTGGTTTAGACCTGGTTTAGTCCTGGTTTAGTCCCAGGTTTAACCCTCTTTGCTCTCGTCCTATAGCTCGGCGCGCACAGTAGCTGCCTGTACCTTTTTGTTACATTGAGGTTAATTGAGACGCAGCTGAGTGTGTGGATTCCTCCGAGAACAGGCCTATAAATAGAAGAATGAAGAGTTGGCGTAGTTGGCCGGGCAGCCTTTGTTTGGTTTGTGTTGTGTTTGCCCTCTCGCCTTTGGGTGACAATTCACACTCCGCCGAGGGTTCAATTCCAGGGCAGCGTACCCTGGTCTCTGCAAGTTCATTAGCAAGGCACTTCATTACAGATATTACAGAAACAGATATAGGTTTAGTTAAACTTGAGTTTTGAGAGTTTTGGCTCAATTTTGGATCTTGGAACTAACCTTGCATCGCATGAATCGTCACATGTTGAGGGACTATTTTCTCATATATCAGTCCGCCGCTGCCAAGCTTTCTATCAGGAAGTACAACCCGCTGCTGTTGCTCAGACATAAATCCTTCAAATGCAAGGTGGGTTTTACTTCTAAAATTATTTTATTGCCACAAACATTCACATCGACAGTCTGGTGTAATAACTGTTTTGCTTCGGGTGTTTTGTGGAGTGGGTAAGACTGTTTTTAGTGGCAGGCTAACTATGGCCATTGACATGCACTAGCCTAGCACCAGCGACCTCGGCAAATACAAGGACTGGATGGAATATTTTAAAAAGTTTCTCCACATGTCTCCAACACTCTGGCTCACTAGGAAATGAGGTCCAAAATTCCAAACTGTCCCTTTAATGTATCTTTATATCCTGCTTAGTCCTGGCTTGGTTGATACTGGCTATCAAATGTGATCCCGGTTTAATTTTGATCTTAGTTCATCTGTATTTCTTTCTACTTTTGGCCCCAGTTTCTTTATTCCAATCAGTTCAACCTCATTCCATTGCATCAACGAATCTAACATACACCGCTTTGTTAGGAACAAATTTCAAAACAAGTTCTTAATCCAAACATGACAGCACTGTGAACGGCGTCCAAAAAGCTATTACTGATTTTTGTTTCGAGGGTGTTAAATTTAAAAGAGATTGCTACTTGATTTTGAAGCAAGATAAAACCTCCCTGGGGCGTTTGGCTTCTCGGTCTCCGGTCTGTCCCAAAAGTCCCCCCCTCAGTTCAGTTTCTGAAGTCTGGAGGAGCCGGTTTAAAGTCAGCGCTACTGTTTGGAGTGCCGATGGAAAAGCCCTGGAGAAAAAAAGAGTGAATGTTATCAAAGAAAGGAGAGGCAGCTTCAAGGAAAAAACACCCAGCTTTGAAGTGAGGTGAATGGGGTGGAGAGCGAGGAGGAGTGGGGCTAAACCTGGGCTGCAAATTGAGTGAAAATGAAGTCGTAACTAGGACCAAACCAGGACAAAAACTTAAAGATATAGTCAAAGCTCCTATATTACACAAATTGACTCTTGTGAGCTTTAAATCATGTTATAATGTTGTTACTGCATCAAAAACGAACCTGTTTAAGAGAAGAACGCAGCCTAAAAATGCAGGTTTTGTGCGTTAAACAAGTGTGAATGAAAAAAACACAAGTCCAGGTCTGTTTATAATGAGGAAACAACATTATAACAGCTCAGAAAATAACGTAATACGGGCCATTTAAGGCTAATTTAGAACAAAGATAATTGTGGTAGTACTTACTTGGACTAAACCAGGATTAAACCAGTACCGAAACCAAGTCTACATCAGAACCTAATGTAATCTAATTGTCATAACACACTGATAAACACACCACTAAAAGATTTACAGTAATCTCGCAATTATCTCGAACAAAAACACACGTTACAAAGGACTGACCGCAAGACTCAACCAAAGATACACCCTGTTACTACATTACCAAACACACAGATCCAGCGCAATTACTAATACCAAACAAAGATTATCCCGGGATCAAACCAGAATTTATCACGGCTCTAAGTCAAATATTGCCTTGACAGAAAGCAAAGCTGAACCAGGTCCAAACCCGCGGGCATATTTCCAGTGGTGGAACGCAACGATGTAAAATTGGTAATAAATGTGCGCTGTGTAACTTTTCTGGTGGAGGGTCTGTCACCTGCTTGTTTCTATGGATATGTCTGCCTGGAATGTTCCACAGTATGGCATTAAACAGCTGTATGTTACATTTATTCAATTACAGACTGTTTTATAGCTCAAAAAACGTAGAAAATCATGCATTCTGACTATGATCAGGATCATCTCTCCACAGATCTGACGTGTAACTTGGTCAGGTTTGGTTTCCAAGATGATAGAAAGGTTTAATGCCATACTGTGGAACATTCTAGACAAAGCAGTAACATCACCTCGTCATGGAGAAAAGCATTTGAGTGCATTTTTAAGAGGATACTTTTTACTTTTACTTACGTTTGAGAGCATGTATCTCTGTTATTGCTTTGTCTGGAATGTTCCACAGTATGGCATTAAACCTTTCTACCATCTTAGAGACCAAGTTACAGATCAGATCTGTGGAGAGGCGACCCCGCTCACAGTCAGAATGCATGACTTTCTAGTTTTTTTGAGCTATAAAACTGCCTGTAATTCAAAAAATGTAACATACAGCTGTTTAATGCCATACTGCAGAACATTCCAGGCAGAGAAACAGCAATGTAATATCCATAGAAACAGGCAGGTGACGGATCCACCACCAGAAAAGTGACACATTGCAGCTTTAAGTCAAATATTGCCTTGACAGAGCGCAAATCTTGAACCAAAGCCGCGGGCATATTTCGCTCAAGGTAAATCCCTGTGGAGTGTTTTATGGAAAGAATGCACCTCTTTCTCCTCTCAAAGCTGTTGTGATTAAATGGTTTTCAACGAGTGGAGCGGGCGTTTCCTGTCATGTCTCCAGAGATCGTAAATCTGTGCGTGCTCCGAAAATAATTACACGTCTAATGACACCCACGCGGCCTGTCGCTACAAGCAGCTCTCATCCACTACAGACACATTCACTCAGCAGATTTAGTCAATACAAGGAGTCAAAACACAATACACAAAACAATGCTACTGCCGCGATTGTAAATAATAATTTGCTTTTCTTTTGTTGATGCAAGAATATAATATAATTTGTGAAAGGCTTGTAGCTGTAGGCTGTTAGTTGGTTGTACATGTGGTGATATCTGAAATACAAAAGTACAAATTTTGAACTTTTTAGACTACCGGTATATAAAATTATAAAGTAGAGTGACCAGATGTACCTATTTACTCCATCAGATTTATCCAAAACCATTCATTTGTCCGTCACCGGTCAGTTTTATACCAGAAATGTTCCTATTTTGGCCAATTTGATGCTTGCCAAAAGTAAAAAGGAGAATATTATCATTTGTTTAGCTAAAATACAGAAAACTGTGCTTGAAAATTACCAGATTATATACAAGAATGAACAATTATACACTCTTTTTTTATAATTTATAACAGAAAACACTGTTAGTAATAATTTTAGTAATTTAAAGCTGCAGTGTGTAACTTTACGGGTGTGGTATTGACCTCCTACTTGTTTCCATGGAGATTTTTATGACATTTCCTGCAATGTTCCAGAGCGAAGCATTCGCCTCTCCACAGATATGACCTGTAACTCAGCTTGGTGGTGTCATTTTCAGCTTGTCTCAAAGGAGAGAGATCTATTTATTGGCGTCCTGTAGAATATCCCAGGCAATCAATGAAATCCCCATGGAGACAAGCAGGTGACAGATTCTGCACTAGAAAAGTAACACAATATAGCTTTAATACAGATTTTGGCAGTCTAGTTGGTCATTTCTCATAAAGATGGTGCATAAAAATAAAACATAAACTAACTGAGTGAACTACTATTGTACTATTGCATGGTGTAAACTAGGGTGGCCAGATTTTCTAAATCTGGGATATCCCCAGTTTTTTGGTGGTTGGTAATAAAAGAATTGTGAAACGAGTGCGTAATTAAGGAAAATTGTTATGCAGAGACCACTCATGACTAACATGTGAGTCAGTATGGTCACATTTTCTTTATGTTTTGGTCATTTCTAAGCAGCTTTCCTGTATGTTACCTAAACAAATGACAATTTATGCCTCATGACTAACATGTGAGTCAATATAGTCACATTTTCTATATGTTTTGGTGATGTTTAAGCAGCTTATCTGTATTTTACCTAAACAAATGACAATTTATGCCTCTCTTTACTGTTGGTCATAAATAGGGACACCTGGGATATTTCTTGTATAAAACTGGGACAAATTACTGGTTTTGAATAAATCTGCTGGGACAGGGGACAAAGGGCTCAAAACTGAGACTGAGGTAAATAGGGATGGCTGGTCACCCTAACAATACACTTTTAATACAGATTTTTGAAGTTTAGTTGGTCATTTCTTATAAAAAACAATGCATAAAAATAAAACATAAACTGACTAACTGACTACTATAGTACTTCTGTATTGTGTAAACTCACATATTTAATTTATAGTCTCATTCTTGTCCTTTTTCTCTTCAGGTTTGCGCGTTTCCAGACCCCTCATCCTGCCCGGGTTCCCAGAGAACAGCAGTGTGGCTTTGGGCGGACAGGCTAAGCTCCTCTGTAAAGTTCACCGACCAGACAAAACCCAGGTCCAGTGGCTCAAAGCGGAGATCAGCAGCAGTTCAGAGGAGAACCAGGGCCAGCGTTTCCATCTCCAGGCTCTGACGGTGAAAAAAACAACACAAAACAACCATTAGCTCCCTACACTGCAATGCTAGGCTAATTAGCAACACCAGGCTAACTGTTTACATTTTTAGACTGACTTTTTCTAAGTTTGGTATTGCATTCACCATTTTAATTGAGCTATAGTGACTTCTTTCTAACATTTATACAATTTGTAATGTTGTGGTAAAGCTCATTCTTTTTTTTTTTTCGGGGTATGTGGCCCATTCCGACATCCCTTCATTCCGGCATGCCTCAATTTAGACGTGCCATTTTCCAACACTTTTTAGTATCACTATTCTGACACATCATATGTAGGGCTGGGTATCATTAAGAAGTTGCTGATATGATGCATGCCTTGATAAATAGGTCACGATATGATACAAATCTCAGTTAGCTTTCGATGCAATACGATTTGATCCAATATATTTCAAATGAATTCGATACGATTCAATAAAAATAATGGCTGTGATACTAAAAATCTTTGCTAAACCAACTCCACGCCCATTTTAATCCTCAAAACAGTGAAATGTCAAATGTGTTGCATAAACAAGTTTCCTTCCACTAAACAAGCAACAAAACTGTAACGCTGTAACAAAATAATTTTGTAAAATATACAAAAATGACTGTATCATCACATTAAATGATGCAATATATCAATATTTAGATATTTTTGCACACCCCTATATCGCATTAATATTGTTCGTGTCAGAAAAGCTGAATGTTTTAAAAAAAATAGTAAAGTGCAGCTACTCCGACAATGGAAAAAAAAAGTCTAAGTAGTGGGATGCGTGAGAAATAATGTTTATACGGCTACTCCGACAGTTAGACGTCAATGTCTAAATAGCTGCATGTTAGAATAGCAGCATGTGGGCGGCTCTATTCCTACATACCATCACTCCAACAGACTCCCACCCCGACATACTGTCATTCCAACACTTTTTGATACCCTCATTCTGACACTTTGATGCAGCTCTAATGGCACCAGAGGTGGCCGCATACGGAATAGCGCCTACCGACCCGCATTCAACATAGAGCCGTACCAGGACAGAAAGACAGTCTGCGGACAGAACAAGCTGTGTCAAAATGGAGGGATGTTGAAAAAAAGGCTTAAGTGCCGCCACTCCGACAAAAAAAAAAAAAAAAAAAAAAAAGTCGGAGTGCAGGGACTTTGATTTAAAAAAAAATGGAAATGCCGCCACTCCGACAATAACACGTCAATGTCGGAGTGATGGTATGTCAGAATGGCAACGTGTAACGTAACCACTCGCTACACTGCGATGCTAGGCTAATTAGCAACATCAACAGTTTAATATTAAATTTTTCGACTGCTCTTTTCTTAGTTAGGTTTGCATTCACTACTTTAAATCAAGCTATAGTGACTTCTTGCTAACATTTCTACAATTTCTAATGTTGTGGTAAAACTCGTTCAGTTTTTCACCTAACTAGCTAACAAAAATCAGCGCTAAATAGCTAACAAGGCTAACCACTGTAGCCTAATCATCTCTTTTCTCAGTTAGGTAATAATGCAGCCAACTGTTTCTTTTATCAGTAATGAAGCTATGCTGATTACTAACATTTCTAATTACTAATGTTATGGTTTACTCTTTTTTTTAAACTAAACTCAAAAGCGGGTGCTAAATAGCTAACACGGCACGGCTACCGCATCTTTTCCAACACAAAACACAAGTATAATTAATGGAGAAATGTTTTGTGTGTGTGTTTCATCTTTAATGTATAACTTAGAATTATTTTTATTCTTTGTCCAGCCTTTACAGAATAATGGCACTAAAACCTACTCACTCCATTTGAGCAACATCACAGCAGAGGACGGAGGAGAATACATCTGCCTCGCCCAAAGTGTCCACCAGGGCCAGACTGTGCAAGCCATGGAGTCGGCCTGGCTTCAAGTTATCCCGGGTAAATAAAGGATTTCCTAACCTGATTTACAAAATAAAAAATTGGACATCCCTGGTTTATGGTGGTTGGTAATAATAAAATTGTGAAATGAGTGCATAATTAAGGGAAATTGTAGTCACATTTTCTTTGTGTTGTAGTCAGCTTTTCTGTATTTTACCTCAATAAATGAAAACAGGGTAAATAGGGATGTCTGGTCACCTTAAAAAATAACTACAGGAACTTTCAGTATTTGCTAATAAGTCAGATTTGAACATTTTTTTTCTTTTTTAGGTACGACTGTATCCAAAACAGTGGACCGGTCATCCTCTGAAGCATCTCAAGGTTGGTAAAAGATGTTGTAAATTAAAAGTAGTAGTTGTAGTGGTGAAAGTAGTACTAGAAGAGAAGTATGTAAGTAATCTTAGAGTTAGCGAGTAGTAGGACGATACAAGACACATATACAGAAGCAATAATTATTATCTGAACTTTGCACTGAGAAGTAGTAAAAATTGCAGCAGCAGTTCTTTTAATAGCTTTAGTATTAATAGGTTGTGGTAGTAGTTGTAGTAGTAGTTAGTAGTAGCTTACCAGTGGCCTCATAATAAGTAGTAATAATAGTAGTCATTGTAATAGTAGTAGTAGTAGTAGTAGTGATAGTGCTGTAACCGCAATATTAGAGTAGTAGTAGCAGTAGTAATAGTAGTAGTAGTAGTAGTAGTGGCCTACTTGTGATTGTAGTATTTTAAAAGTACTACTCTCTTCCCAGACGTTCTGGTAGTACTAGTAGCAGTAGTAGAAGTAGTAGTAGTAGTAGTAGTAGCAGTAACAGCAGCAGTAGTAGTAGTAGTAGTAGTAGTCGTCTAGTTGTCATTGTAGTATTTTAACAGTACTACTCTCCTCAGATGTTATGGTAGTACTCGTAGTTGTAATAGTAGTAGCAGTAGTAGCCATAGTAGTAGCCTAGTTGTGATTCTAGTACTTTAAAAGTACTACTCTCTCTTCAAACATTCTGGTAGTAGTAGTAACAGCAGTAGAGAGTAGTAGCAGCAATTTTGAAGCAGCAGAAGTAGTAGTATTAGCCTAGTTGTCATTGTAGTATTTTAATTGTACTACATTTTCCTCAGATGTTCTAGTAGTAGTAGTAGTAGTAGTAGTAGTAGTAGCAGTAGTAACAGTAGTAACTGTAGTAGGAGCCTAACTGTGATTGTAGTATTTTAACAGTACTACTCTCTCCTCAGACGTTCTGGAGGACCTGCTGGACGACACCACAGAGCACCTCTTGCTGGAGCCGGGGAACGTGCTGAAGCTGAGGTGTGACCTGAGCTCTCGACCCGGGATGGCGGTCTCCTGGTACAAAGACGGACACCGGGTCTCGGCCACGCCCCGGGTCCAGATGAGAGGGACCTCCATGGAGATCGCCGACGTGAACTACGACGATTCTGGGGTCTACGTGTGTGCCCTCAGAGGAACTAAAGCACCACTCAGGAACTTTACTATCACTGTCACTGGTAAGGACCTGGTTCAGACCTGGTTTATTGGTCTAGACTGAAGACCAAATGTTTTTTGATGTAATTTTTTGCCTTAAGTACTGGTTGTTTTGGTTTAGTCTTGATTTTGGACGGTGTTTAGCTCGTTTTTGTCCTTTTCAGACCAGTTTTATCCTCTTGTCTTAGTCCTGTTTCAATCCTGGTTTAGTACTGGATTACTTCTGCGTTTAGTCTTGGATTTGGACCTATTTATAGTCTTGGTTTAGACCTGGTTTAGTTCTCATTGTCCAAATAATTTCCCTTGTGGATCAATAAAGTTTGTCTAAGTCTAAGTTCTAACTTTTGTGACTTTCTCTGCACAGATGCTCTTGGCTCCGGTGACGACGATGAAGACAACGGTTTGGACGATGCTTCGGCTGAAATTGAAAACGACCAGGTTTACATTTCACGAGGTACGTTTAGAAAATCTCCCTAAACATTTTACCAATCAGTTTCTCATTCTTATATATGACATTGTTCCTGTGTCTGCGCTCAGGCCCTTACTGGACTCACATACAGCGGATGGAGAAGCGGCTCTACGCTGTTCCCGCCGGCAACACTGTTAAGTTCCGATGCCCCGCCATGGGAAGCCCTATGCCCTCAATACGCTGGCTAAAAAACGGGCGAGAATTTCGGGGAGAGCACCGCATCGGAGGAATCAAAGTAAGAATATAGACATAAAATGAAAAGTATATTGCACACAAAATTGACTCTTGTGAGCTTTTAGTCATGTTATAATACTGTAACTTCATCAAAAACAGACCTGGAGTTGTGTTTTGTTTCATTCTCACATTTTTATAATTCTGTCTACATTTCCAAAGCCCAAAATGCTCTGATCCCCCTTGTGATGTCATATTGTGGTAATACTGTGGTAGTTTTCATATTTAAACACTCCTTTTACCTTTAGTTCAATAGAGATTGCTAACATTACCCATGATTCTAGTGAAAGTGTATGGCGTTTAAAAACACAGTGGAGAATTTTGTGTATTGCCACATGACATCACAAGGTGGAACAGAGTGTTTTCTGTTTGAGAGAAGAACGCTAAATATGCAGGGTTTGTGTGTTAAACGTGTGAATGAAACAAAACTAAACTCCAAGTATGTTTGTGATAAGAAAACAGCATAAAATAGTAGGGATGTAACGATATCCAAATCTCTCTGTACGATATTTATTGCGATATTTTGAAGAGGCTGATATAATTGTAGATGGGACACTTTTTTGCTTTTCAAATACCTTGACAAGATTTTGGTGTGAATTATTTCTGTCATAATCCCAAGAATTCATTTAGAAAACATATATATTCATGTTGTCTGTGCTGAAATGAATCATGGGATATGTAGTTTCTGACGTTTCTAAGGTGTTGCTGCTATAAACCATGAATTTAAGCAAAGGAACTTGTAATTCGTTTTATTGTGATGGTACACAATATTATTGTGAGACTTTTGACGATACGATATCACGATATTTTGGTTATTGTCTGCCCATTAGACTTTGTACCATCATATGAGATGAGAATTTGACCTAATTTTGTTGTTTATCTTTCACATTTCTAGCTAAGGCATCAACATTGGAGTTTGGTGATGGAGAGCGTGGTTCCGTCTGATCGAGGAAACTACACCTGTGTGGTTGAGAACAAATATGGTTCCATCACTCACAGCTACGTCCTGGATGTTCTGGGTAAGAAAACTGTATTCTTGGGATAATGTATTGTGTGACGCATTTATCAGTCACGCACAGTTACTCAACATGGTTTAAGTCCTGGTTTAGTTTCAGTGAGATCTTTCTTTGTTCTTATTTAGACCTCATTTAGCTTTGGGACCTCATTGATCTTTTTTTAGTTCTGGTTTGGTCCTGTTTCAGCTATTATTAAAGGTCCTATATTATGCAAAATTGACTCTTGTGAGCTTTAAGTCTGGTTATAATGTTGTTACCTCCTCAAAAACATATCTGGAGTTGCGTTTTGTTTCATTTACGCATGTTTGAGTAACTTGTTTAAAGTTATATAGATCAGAAAATAGCGTAATATCAGCTCTTTAAGTCTAAGGTTAATATCTGATTGGTCCTTCTTCAGACCTGTTTTAAATACTTTTTTTCATATTCACACTTCCTTGTTTTTTCCTGGTTTAATTCTAGTTTTGTCATGGTATATTCCTGGTTAGCTTTTGTTCCCAGTCCTGGTTCAGTCCTGTTTCCAGTTATTGATGCATTCCTCAGTCTAATCCCCTTAGCCCTACCTCATTTAACTCATATGCTTCTTCTCTCTGATCACTCCTGAACTTTTGAACTTAAGTTAAACCCTTTCTTCTAAGTTGTATTTTTCTTTCTTTCTCCACGTCCAGAGCGCTCCCCCCATAGGCCCATCCTCCAGGCCGGTCTCCCCGCCAACACCACCGCCATCGTGGGCCAAGACGTTCGGTTCTTCTGCAAAGTTTACAGTGATGCTCAGCCGCACATCCAGTGGCTCAAACATATCACCAAGAACGGGAGTGGATACGGCCCAGATGGGATGCCATATGTGCAACTTATCAAGGTTAGACAGATAAATGAATGTGCAGATAGTCCTGGTTCAGAAATGGTTTAGTCTTGGTTTGGTCTTGGTTTGGTCCTGGTTAAGGCTTGTTTTAGTCCTATTTTAATCCTGGTTTAGTCTTGATTTAGACTTGGTTTAGTCTTGGTTTGGTCCTGGTCAAGGCTTGTTTTAGTCCTGTTTTAGTCTTGGTTTAGTCTTGATTTAGACTTGGTTTTGTCTTGGTTTGGCCCTGGCTAACTGGCTAAGGCTTGTTTTAGTCCTGTTTTAGTCTTGGTTTGGTCCTGGTTAAGGAGTGTTTTTGTCCTGTTTTAGTCTTGGTTTAATCTTGGTTTAGTCTTGGTTTGGTCCTGGTTAAGGCTTGTTTTGGTCTTGTTTTAGTCTTGGTGTGGTCCTGGTTAAGGCTTGTTTTTGTCCAGTTTTAATCTTGGTTTAGTCTTGGTTTAGTCTTGATTTAGACTTGGTTACGTCTTGATTTAGTCTTGGTTTATTCTTGGTTTGGTCCTGGTTAAGGCTTATTTTGGTCCTGTTTTAGTCTTGGTTTAGTCTTGGTTTGGTCCTGGTTAAGACTTGTTTTAGTCCTGTTTTAGTATTAGTCTGGTCCTGGTTAAGGCTTGTTTTTGTCCTGTTTTAGTCTTGGTTCAGTCCCAGTTTTGTCCTGTTATAGTCCTATTTTAGTCCCGGTTTAGCCCTGTTGTAGTTCTGTTTTAGTCTTAGTTTAGTCACACTCCATTTGTCCACTTTTTAATACAGTCTGTGAGTGTACTTGCTTTTGGATTTTGATTGATTTGTAAGTAACTGGCTTATTTCTCCTTTATTTAGACTGGCAGTTTAAACATGTCTGAAGTAGAAGTCCTCCATCTTGCTAAGGTAACTCTAGAAGATGCAGGACAGTACACGTGCTTGGCTGGAAACTCCATTGGCTTCGCTCACCAGTCTGCGTGGCTCACCGTGCTATCAGGTAACACAACTACTCCAAAAACCAAAACAAATATCGAACAGTTATAATAAACGTGCGTGTTTTAAGTGTTATAATCTAAACTTTCTATTCACAGAGGAGGAAGCCAACGCGATGGAGGCGATGGAGACCAAATACACAGATATTATCATTTACGCCTGTGGGTTCGTGGCTCTGATCATGGCGGTTATCATCGTGGTACTGTGCCGGATGCAGGTTCACCCCAGACGAGAGCCATTCGACGCACTTCCTGTTCAAAAACTCTCCAAGTTTCCTCTGCGCAGACAGGTAAATCATGATTCAGATTTGATTGGTTTCCTGTTTAGTTTTGTTGTCTTACATTTTCTTACATTTGTTAAGAAAAAAATGGGCCTTGGTTGCCATAGTGCTCACAATTCAGAAAGACTGGATTTAGTCTTGGTTTAGTCTTGGTTTAGACTTGGTTTAGTCTCAGTTTAATCTCTGGTTTAGTCTTGTTTTAGTCTCTGGTTTAGACTTGGTTTAGTCCTGGTTTTGTTCCTAGTTTAGAGTTGGTGTAATCTTGGTTTAGACTTGGTTTGCTCTTGGTTTAGTTCTGGTTTAGTCCCTGGTTTAGAGTTGGTTTAGTCCTGATTTATTTTTGGTTTAGTCCTGGTTAAATCCTTGTCTAGTCCTGGTTTAGTCTCTTGTTTAGGCTTGGTTTACTCTTGGTTTAGTCCTGGTTTAGTCTTGGTCTAGTTCTGGTTTAGTCCCTGGTTTAGAGTTGGTTTAGTCCTGGTTTATTCTTGGTTTAGTCCTGGTTTAGTCCCTGGTTTAGTCTCTGGTTTAGACCTGGTTTAGTCGTAGTTTAGTCCTAGTTTAGTCTTGGCTTAGTTTCTGGTTTAGTCGTGGTTTAGTCCTTGGTTTAGACTTGGTTTGGTCCTGGTTTAGACCTGGTTTATTCTGATCCAATTCCAACGGTAGCCCCAGTTTAATTCCTATGCTCTCCTATAAATTAGTTGTAATCATAAATATTGTTCTTGTTCTTGTTGCAGTATTCGGTGGATTCCAACTCGTCCGGGAAGTCTAGCGCCTCCTTGATGCGAGTGGCGCGACTCTCCTCCAGCTGTTCCCCAATGTTGGCCGGAGTTATGGAGTTCGAGCTGCCCTATGACCCCGAGTGGGAGTTTCCCAGAGAAAAGTAAGCCCCACCCCATTCCAATACAACATTAAAAAAAAAAAAATCTAAGAGAAAGATTTGACCATTTTGTAAAGCTATATTTCAGCGGTATGGCAGCAGTATCTTAATCGAGCCCCAAACACTTAACTTCCAATAAGTTCTGGCGTCACTTTTGGGGATGAAAACAATTAAAACTGCTGGTCTAACAAAAACTAAAAGACAAAGGCACTGATTTCAGATTAGACATCGACCAATATGGGTTTTTTCTTCGCTGATACAATGGCTAATAAGTTCTGGTGACATTTTTGAGCCGATTTGGGCAATTTTCTCCAAACAATCTAATACAAATTTAATACAAACTCACCCACAACCTTTGTACAAACTTTGTAGGGAGCAGTGTAGTCTAATTTTTGCACTAAGCTCTTTGGATTTAAGTGTTCGGATAGTCTTTATGCATAATTAGGCAGCTGGTTGGGCCAAAAAAAAATATCAACCTCTGAAGTTTTATGGCCGATATCTGACAAACATCGGCCAAACGATATATCGGTCAACCCTCATATCTCTAGTTCAGATTGAAAAAATAATATGAATCTTACTCATGACCAAGATTTGGCAGAAAAACATGAAACAAATTAGAAAATAAGTGCAATTTTGCTTTCACTATTAGCTTCAGCTTTCACTACTACTACTAATTCTTTTCAGAATAAAACTTTCTGTCACTTTCTGATTGTGAATTGTCAAAATGTCCAAATCTAAATCCGTGTATCATTCGTTCATTCATGTTTCAAAATAAAAACAAAAATAAGAAAACAAAAAAAAAACAATAATTTTCTTCATTATTTGTCTCCAAAACCAAAATGAAAAAATGGATAATGGTTCATTTTTTCAGTGTTTGATTTTGTGTTTAAATGAAGAATGGAAAAAAAACGAATAACGGCCATTTCCCGTTTCCATGACTTAAACTGCGATGCAAGACGGAACCAGGACTGAGACCAGGACTGAGACCAGGATTGAGACCAGGACCAGACCAGAACCAGACCGGGAATGACACCAGGACTGAGATTGGGACCAGACTGGGACTGAGACTGGGTTTAGTCCTGGTTCAGTCCTGGTTTAGACCTGGTTTAGTCCTGTTTTAGTCCTGGGATCAGTTCTAATTCAGTCCTAATCCAAGTTCCGGTCTGGTGTATGGTCCCGGTCTCAGTCCTGCCCTCAGTCCCGATCTCAGTCCCAGTCTCAGTCCTGGTCTCAGTCCCAGCCTGGTCCTGGTCTGGTCCTGGTCTCATCCTGATCAGTCTACATGGGCACACCTCCGGGTCTGTCCCTACAGTCCTGGTTTAGTCCTGTTTCAGTCCGTATGTGGCGCCAAATTCGGACATTGCAGTTTAAGTCACGGAAACGGGAAATGGTCATTATCCGTTTTTCATTTTGGTTTTGGAGACAAATAATGACAAAAAAAGTTTTTTTGGTTTTTTGTTTTCTTGTTTTTGGTTTTATTTTGAAAAACGAATGAACGAATGATACACGGATTAAATTGTACTGATCTAAATCCTTATTTGAACCTTTGCACTGGTCTGATCCTGTACAACCCTGCGTATTCTTCTCCGGTTTTATTCTGCCCTTTACAAAACTCCAGCTTTCGTGTCTCACTCTGTCCGCCGTGGTTTTCAAAAACACAGAAAAAGCATAAATTACAGCTGCGTGCAGTCGTCTCCGTCCTGTATATTTTTAAAGCCCTGTGTTTTCTTCTCTTTCTAGTCTGACTCTGGGTAAACCGCTGGGAGAAGGCTGCTTTGGTCAGGTGGTCCGGGCCGAGGCGTATGGTCTAAACAAAGATCAGATGGACAAACCCACTACAGTCGCTGTCAAAATGCTCAAAGGTAAACCAAAAATACCAATCTGGACACCGTATATCTGACTAAACGGTTTAGATTGTAATGTAAATAAACTTTTTTTGTTTCAGACGACGCCACAGATAAAGATTTAGCCGACCTAATTTCAGAAATGGAGCTGATGAAGGTCATGGATAAACATAAAAACATCATAAACTTGCTGGGAGTCTGCACGCAGGATGGTGAGTTTTATGTGAAAGCCAGAAACGTTCTTAAATTTGTGTCTAAAAACACAGCACAGCCAATTGAGTTTGACCCTTCAAGGCTACTGTAGTTAGAGTTTCAATAGATAGACACCTACTACCTACTACTGTTTTATAGTAAGTATAGTTTATAGTTTTTTTTTTAATTTTCAAGTAATAGTAGGAGTAGTGGTATTAAAAGTAGTAGTAAAAATGGTATAAAAAGTAGCAGTAGTAACAGTAGAAATGATAGTAAAAGTAGTACTAGTAGTAGAATTGGTATTAGTAGTAGTAGTAGTAGTAGTAGTAGTAGTAGTAGAAACTGTATTAAATGTAGTAGTAGTAGTAGTAGTAGTAGTAGTAGTAGTAGTAGTAGTAGTAGTAGTAGTAGTAGTAGTAGTAGTAGTAGTAGTAGTAGTAGTAGTAGTAGTAGAAAAATGGTATTAGTAGTAGTAGTAGTAAAAATGTTTTTTATAAGTAATAGTAGTAGAAGTAGTAGTAGTAGAAATGGTATTAAAAGTAGTAGTAGTAGTAGTAGTAGTAGTAGTAGTAGTAGTATTAGAAATGGTATTAAAAATAGTAGCAGTGGTAGTGGTAGCAGTAGAAAAAATAGTATTAAAAGTAGTAGTAGAAGAAATTGTATTAAAAATAGTAGTAGTAGTAGAAATGGTATTAAAAGTAGTAGTAGTAGTAGTAGTAGTAGTAGTAGTAGTAGTAGTAGTAGTAGTAGTAGTAGTACAAATGTTTTTTTAAAGTAGTACTATAATAAGTTAAATCTGGAGTTATATAAAGGCCCTGTAAAACATAAAAAACAGAAGTTGTTAATTTTAAATAATTTGCTGTGGGCCAAAGTTATTCCTCACTTACCGCAATGAGACTGTAATTGCTATCATGCTAACGTGCACTTCCTGATAAAGCGCCCCTGTTAATCGTCCCTTGCCTGATCTGTAAGCTCCATCCTAACCGTAACTGTCTGTTCTTAGGCCCTCTGTATGTCCTGGTGGAGTACGCGTCCAAAGGGAGCCTCAGGGAGTACCTCAGAGCCAGGAGACCGCCCGGGATGGACTACAGCTTCGACATCACCAAAGTCCCCGAGGAGCAGCTCACCTTTAAAGACCTGCTCTCGTGCGCCTACCAGGTCGCCCGAGGAATGGAGTACCTCGCCTCGAAAAGGGTGAGAAACGGGAGGACTTTTCAAATGTTTGTGGAGACGCCTTCTGTTTGTTTCACAAAAATCTCGTAATTGTTTGGGAGATCGTTGGTACATTATCTGAAACCGTGGCAATTTAATTTATTTATTTATTGTTTATTTGAAAAGGGATAGATACTTAAAACTGTTCACTAAAACGCAGTGTTTGTTGGATGGAAAAGCAATAAATATGGGGCTGGGTATCATTAAGAAGTTGTCAATACGATACATACCTCGATACATAGGCCACAATACGAATACTTTTTGATACCGTGCAATTTTGATTTAATAAAATTCGATATGATATATTTCAAATCAATTTGATACAGCTCAGTGAAAAACAAAGGCTAAATCGTCGCTGTGATACTAAGTCCACTAAGTCTGAAACCCATTTTACGCAAACCATGAAAAAACACAATTGTAGCTCTTACACAAAATAAATTTGTAAAATATACCTAAAAATACTCTTGATGATATATCGATACAGTCTCATCAAATTATTATTTTTATTTATTTATTTTTCTTTATTTGTTTGTGTGAGGTAAAACTAAATCAAGAACATTAGCAAAAAATAAAACAAAAGCAAGGATATGTATATGTACATATTTGGGACCTGTTGCTCAAAAGGATTAGGATAAAAAAAATAAAAATAAAATTATAATGTCCTACCCCAGTTGTTTTACATAATCAAGTGGTTGACACATTTTTTTTTCACCTTTGGAGTGCTTACCTTAAATTATACGATATATCGATATTTTAATATTTTTGTACACCCCTAGAATCAAAATATATCATAATATCAAAAACATACAAACTCACACACTTTTAATTTTATTTTATTTCAAGAATACATTGTCATTTTGGTTCTTTGAAATTAATTTCAATTTAGGGTTACCTCCTGAATTCTTGTAATTTACTTGTAATATTTTTTAAAACCTCAAATTGTTTTTTTAACTTCAACAAATCCAAATTTTTCTTCTCAGTTTATACTTAAAGATGATCTATGTAACTTTTCTGGAGGGGGTTCTTTATCTTATGACATTACTAGAATGTTCCACAGTATGGCTTTAGACTCAGCTATGTTGCATTTATTAAATTACAGGTATTGTTAATGCTAAAAAAATTGAAAATACATTGAAAAAACCAATGCATCTTTTAAGTATAATTTTATCTCCATGGAAACAAGTCGGTAGCAAATCTGACACACAGTACAGCTTTAAATACATCACCCTCTAACGCTAAATCTTGGACACGGCCTTTTAGACTACAGTACATGCAGACAACCTCCTGCGCATTTCCGCTCATTTCCCAGCATGCATCTGTCTCAGTTTTAATCAGCCTGCTCCGTCTTTGTCCGTTTTAGCTCCGTAGTCGTAAATCGCGTCGCAAACACTAAATTTTGGGTGTAGCTTTGAGTTTCGAGGGCCCTCTTTCTGTCCAAGAATGCACCATTTAGCTCAGAACCCTCCATTATGGTTCTCCCCGCAAATCCCAAAGTCTATTTCCAACAAAAACCAAAATAAACTTAATGACATCCATGCGTTTCAGTGGGTTCGCTCAGCCCGGCTCCCTGCCTCCCTCCCACCACGGGTTTAACGTTCCTATTTAAAGACGTAGTAACTCTCCCAAAACGCCTCGCTTTTGTTGACTTTTCATTTTCGGAGAATTGAAGCAGTGAATCTTTCAGACCATTGCTGTATTTTAGGGCTGTCAGGCCAAAAACCACAACCCATACAAGTATTTTCATAGACTTTGTAAAGCCATACATGGTCACAACATCCAGGATTTCCCGTTTGACAGAATTTCTGAGACGAAATATGTGTTTTAGTTTGTAGTTTTAATGTTGTTTTGTTTTCCTGCAGTGCATTCACAGAGATTTGGCTGCTAGAAATGTTTTGGTGACGGAAGATAACGTTATGAAGATCGCAGACTTTGGTTTGGCCCGAGGAGTTCATCAGATCGACTACTACAAGAAAACTACCAACGTAAGTATCAAATATATGTGTGTATGAACTATCTCTCCTCTGGCTCTGCTCCTGTTTGCTCCACATTTCTCTTAAAAAATCCTAAATTACAAACACCAAACCCCATAAAACAATAATCTAAACCCATTGTTTCTTATAGGGACGTTTGCCTGTAAAATGGATGGCCCCTGAAGCGTTATTCGACCGTGTTTACACTCACCAAAGCGACGTGTAAGTCTTTATTTCAAATCGAGTAAATCCTTCCAATCCAATTTAAATCTGAAGTATTTTGCCTTGTATTGTTTCAGCTGGTCTTTTGGCGTATTGATGTGGGAGATATTCACTCTGGGAGGCTCACCGTACCCTGGCATTCCCGTGGAGGAACTTTTCAAACTCTTAAAAGAAGGACATCGAATGGACAAACCCTCAAACTGCACGCACGAACTGTAAGAAACCAATATGTATTATAGTTTTTAGTTGTTTCCTCGTCACAAACAGACCTGGAGTTGTGTTTTACTTCATTCACACTTTTTTTTTTACACAAAAACCCTGCATATTTAGGCTGAGTTCTTCACCGTCACTAGAATCATTTGGATAATTTCAGCTCTAGAATTGCCAATCTCGACTGAACTACTGAAAATACATGACATCACAAGGTGGAACAGAGCATTTTGAGCTTTGGAAATGTAGACAGACTAATAATTAAGTGTTACTCAAACATGTGTGAATGAAACAAAACACAATTCCAGGTTTGTTTTTGAGGAGGTAACAATTCTAACATGACTTAAATCTCACAAGAATCAGTTATGTGTAATATTGGACTGTTGGAGTTATTTTAATTGAACATTTTTAAAAGGTATGAAGGCACATCATATAGTTTCCACACTCTCAGGACATGTATATTCAACAAAAAAAGAAACAAAACAACAGAGTAGTTCAAAAAAGTGTTAGGAAAAAGCATATCTTATTTTAATCCTACCCCTACAATTTACAATATTTCATCTACATCAGACATGTCAAACTCAGGCCTGGGGACCAAATTTGGCTTGTGATATAATTATATTTGGCCCGTGAGATCATATCAAACATGTATTAGTGCTAGACCATTGGCTACAGATAGACTATAGAGATATTATGTATTTCAAATTTTGTTATTATTTTATATTATGATTGTTCTGGATTAAATGTTTAAGCAAAACTATTATTAAACATTTATTTTAATAAGAAAAGATTTAACATTACATATCTTGAACGAAGAGAAAACATGCAGATGCAAATGCGAATTTTTCAATAAATATTTAGTTTGACCCACGACTTAGTCCCAGTTTTAATTTTGACCTTTGTGAACTTGAATTTGACACCCCTGATGTACATGACTTTCATTATATATGGCAGTTTAGTACATTAAAGTGTATTTTTAGACATTAGATAAATTAGATGAAAACACATACATGTTACAAATACACACAGGTTTATTATATTATCACTAATCACTTTTTAATAACAATTCATGAATATCTGCCTTTGTACATTTTTGGGCACATTTTTTTATACTTATCTCCAAGTCCATTCCATAAATATTCTCCACTTATAGCCATACTCATTTGTCAAACTGTTGTCTTACTTTTACTTTATTAAAATTTAACTCATCTCTTAGTCCATTACTCTTTTGTTGACGTTTTATACTGTAGCATTTGTGTTAGCATGTGTCCATAGACTTTGTACTAATTCACTTTATGTTTTTTAGCTACATGTTGATGCGCGAGTGTTGGTACGCTGTTCCAACGCAACGACCTACTTTCAAACAACTGGTGGAGGAGCTCGACCGGACTTTACTGTCTGTTTCTGATGAGGTATGTTTAAAATAATATTATCTGTTTCTCGTTGCTTATGTGCTTTTTGACAAACCATGGGTGTTGAACTGATTAGCAAAAAGGGAATAGCCTTAAGGACCTAAAGTGCATTCACACTTTCTGGGTTGGTTCTGGTTTGAGCCCAGTTTAGTCCTGTTGGAGACCTGGTTTGAGGTGGTTTGCGGTTTGTTTGTGGTTTAGTCCTAGTCTGGTCCTGATTTACTTCTGGTTTGTTCCTGGTTTGGTCCTAGTTTGGTCCTGGTTTAGTCCTAGTTTGATTTTACTTTGGGCCTGGTTTGGTTCCATTTTGGTCTTAGTTTAGCCCTGGTTTGGTTCTGATTTGGTGCTGGTTTGGTCTTGGTTTAGTCCTGGTGTAGTACTGGTTTGGTCCTGGTTTGGCTCTAGTTTGGTCCTAGTTTGGCCCTAGTTTAGCCCCAGTTTAGCCCTAGTTTGGCCCTAGTTTGGCAGTAGTTTGGCCCTAGTTTGTCCCTACTTTGTTCCTAGTTTGGCCCTAGTTTGTTCCTAGTTTGGCCCTAATTTGGCCCTAGTTTGGCCCTAGCTTGGTCCTAATTTGGACCTGGTTTGGCCCTAGTTTGGCCCTTGTTTGGTCCTAGTTTGGGCCTAATTTAGTCCTAATTTGTTACTTATTTGGTCCTAATTTGATCCTAATTTGGTCCTAATTTGGCCCTGGTTTGTTCTGTGAAACATTTCAGGCAGAGCAATAACATCTCCATGGAGCAAAGCATTTGATGGACCAGAAAAGTTACACAATGCACCTTTAAGCTTTATTATTTAGTATCTCTTGGTGTGATTGTTTAAAATGGCAGAAGCGTACATATGTTTGTAAATGTGCAGCACAGATGTCCAAACAGTTTAAATGAGATCGCAGAGGAGAGCTAATAAACTCCGGCAAATAAAAGGCTTTAGTGCGCGGAGATGCAGGGGCCAAATGGAGAAAGCTTAAAGGCAAAATTTACACAACACCACAAAGACTCCACACAGAACACATTTCAGGATAATAACGGCTTTAAACTAGTCAAGCTTACTTAAACTAGACCTCAATGAATCCTGAATTACACCCAGTAAATTAAAACAGGTAGAACATCTTTTTACATATTAAGGGTCTATTACACAAAATGGACTCTTGTAGCTTTAAGTCATGTTATAATTAAATACACCTCATCAAAAACAGAGCTGGAGTTGTGTTTTGTTTCATTCACAAACACAAACGATTCAAGCGAAGGTGTGTGGATTTTAAAAACACAGTAGAGCACTTCCTGTATTACCATATGACATCACAAGGTGGAACAGAGTGTTTTCAGTTTGAGCAAAGAGCCTAAATAGCAGAGTTTGGGTGTTAAATATTTGTGAATGAAACAAAACCTGATGAGGAAACTACATTATAACATAGATTTTAAAAAAAAGCGTAATATAGGATCTTTAATTAATTAATTTTTTTTTTGCATGTTTGAGTGTGGCTTTAATTTTTCAAGCACGACTAACTACAAAAATATGTAAAAATGTAATTCCAATAATATTTAGCAGGATTTAGCCAGTTATTTGTCATAATATTATTCAAATATTAAACCGAATATCAAAGTAAGGTCACTTTAGACTGCTTCTTCTTCACCTTCACTCTGATTGGTTAAATCCACCTGTCACTCACTCAGCATAACAGAGTCTGACCAATAGGAGAAGTGGGCGGGGAAAGGTTTTTGATGTTTGAATTAGATCACATTAGATTAGGGCTGGGTAGTTGTAGTAGGAAGTTGTTGATACAATACATACCTTGATAAATAGGCCACGATACAATATGTTTTTCGATACAGTGCCCTTTCGATTCAATACAATTCGATATGATATATTTCAAATCGATTCGATACGGTTCTGGGAAAAACAAAGACTACTAAAAGTCTACTAAGTCCACTGAGTTTGTGCAAATTTAATATGAAAATCACCCATTTTACTCATCAAAAAGTGAAAATGTCAACACAATTATAGCTCTTACACAAAATAATGTAGTAAAATATACCTAAAAATACTCGTAATATTAATACAGCAGCCCACGATATCGATTCTGTATCATCAAATTAAACAATACGATATATCGATATTTCAATATTTTTGCACACCCCAATCACAATAAAATTTTTATCATCTCATATCATTATCAATGCATTGTACAACCAAATAAAACACATGAATTAACCCATGTCTTTTCTCTTTCCTCAGTATTTGGACCTCTCTACACCTTTCGAGCAGTACTCCCCGTCATGTGAGGATACTTCCAGCTCCTGCTGCTCTGACAATGACTCGGTTTTTACCCACGATGCCTTGTCCACGGACCCCTGCCTTTTGGCCTATCACGACGTGCCTCATCGAATCCACGCCAAAACCGCGCTCAGATAAACTCAAATCTGCAACGTTTTCCGTTTTTGTCGGATTTCCAGAGGCCTTACTTTGGATTGCATTCAGAAGCAAATGGGAGTTGACACACTTTTAAAGCAGTAGCATTTTGGATGTTTCTTCAAATCAATTTCCTGGAATAAAATAAGCAATAACTTTATTTAGATATTTTTATAAGAGCACGCTTAGCCCTCTATTATTTATTTAGCTGATGTTGCTACCGGACCAAAATCAATGGTACTACTACAGTTTGTGGCTAATGTTGTGCTAACTCCTTGGTTCATTCATACATACTGAAAAACGTAGCAATTAGCGTCAGTTAGCTGCTATGTTTGTTTCTTCAAATAAATTTCCTGACATTAAACAAATAAGCAACAACTTTATTTAGATTTTTTTTTTTTTTTATTAGCGCGCCTAGCCTTCTATTATTTATTTAGCTGATGTTGCTACCGGACAAAAACGGTACTTCTGCTGTTTGTGGCTAACTTCTAAATGCTAACGTTGTGCTAACTCCTTGATACTGAACAACATAGCAATTAGTGTCAGTTAGCTGCTACATTTGTTTCTTCAAATACATTTCCTGAAGTTATGAAAATAAGCAACAACTTTATTTAGATGTTTTATGAGAGCACGCGTAGCCTTCTGTTATTTATTTAGCTGATGTTGGTAATTGGACCAAAATGGTACTACAACACTTTGCAGCTAACTTCCTAAATGCTAACGTTGTGCTAACTCCTTGGTTCATACGTACTGAAGAAGTTAGCTTCAGTTAGCTGCTATATTTGTGTATTGGTCAACTCCTGTTTACTGTCAATGCTACGGACATTTTCCAAAGTCCAAGGATCTCATGTTGGGACCACGTTTGGGACCTGTTTACGGACCCTCGGCTGGAGCACTGTGGAGATAACTCTTTTGTTGATTTCAATGTTTTTTGGACATTTTTGGACAATGATGTCAGAGAAACTGCAACAAAAACGCAGCACTAATCCACCAGAGGAGCAGAAGAAGAAGAAGAAGAAGACATCGTTCTGACACACATTTAAAAGACATTTTTAAACTAAAAAAGATTTATTTTGATAAAAAAGAAAGTGATGTTAATTATAAATCTCTTTATATAAGATTATTTTACTGTTGTTGCTTATTTAAGAAGAAGAAGCTGTATTAAACTCAGGAGTTCTTGTGTTGAAGTTGCTGTAGAGGCCTGATCATGATTTCCTGTGAATATATTTAGATTATTAAAGTATTAAACTATGTACATATCATTAAATAACACGGTCTCTTCTCATTTTTATTTTATTTTTTACAGTTTTTTAGAAAATAATATTTAATTGGAAGATATTTGTGGTTTATTACTGGTTTAGTTTGGGGCATCGACAGACATGACAGTGACAATCAAATGACTAATTTTATTATGTCCTTGGGCAAGACACTCCCAGCTCAGTTTTATATTATGTTTACCTGACTGCGTAATAGGCAGCAGTCGATGGGCACTGGTTAGGTGCCACTGAGGCTGCAGAAGTAGCAATTGAGTAAGTAAAGATCTGAATCATAATCACCACCTGAATTAAAATGTCCTTAAAAACAAATACATACAGATGGTTTGAAGAAGAAGCTCCTGCAGTCACTTATCACAGTTACACAACAATTAGCCACTATATCACTGCAGTTATTCTTTAAACTCTAACATTTTTTACTTCACCACAATTCTAGTATGTCTGAGTTTGTGTTTGGTCATGTTTAAAAGCACTCTACCTTATTTTCTGATTGTGTAACTTTTCATGTGGAGGTTCCGTCAAATGCTTTTGCCAATGAACCTTTAAAATGTTAAAAACAGAGCTAGTTCATTTTAAACAGTTTGCAGAGGCCCACAGTTATTCCTCACTCACCTTCTGTATTCAGAGTTTACAACACGCACTTGATTATTATTGATTTCTGGACAATAAAACACTTTAATTAGATTCAGGAAGTACACAGTGGACTTATTTTGACCTCAAGAACTGCTTATATAATAGGCTGTATCTGTAGTGGGACAAGACAAAGGCTACATTTACATGATGTTTTTTGATTTCGAATGAAATGTTCTGAATTAAATAGCTGGAGTTTACATGGAAATAATAACTGTGAATTGACGTTTACATGGAAAATATGTTAAATTGCCTTTATTTAATTCAATGTCTGGGGGTCGGGAAGGGTTCTGATTGACAGGGGGCGCATGAACATATTTACTTCTACCGGAAGAAAACACACGGCTTTTTTGTCATCTCAGTTTGTTAACTTCTTAGGTTCTTTTTAAAGACAATGCAGTAAAGTGTATTTACCTTGTTGACATGTTTCGGCTGCTAGCTGCAAGCCATCTTCAGAACTGTCACCGGTGTTGGTGGTGACGTGTCGTATATCAGCTGTTGTTACTTCCTGTAGGCGTGGTCAGCCTGATGGACCTGGCAGGTCGCTCAGACTGACCACGCCTCCCGTCGCCCGGTGTTCTCTGGAGGAGGGTGTCCCAGGTGTGTGAAAGGAGGAACGCGCCGTCATCACGGTTAATGCTGTCCGTGCCTCGTTTCCTGATTTCAATGGCCTCCTTGATCCAGCGTTTGAACTTGTTGTTTTCTCATCCAATGACCCGAGCCCCGTCCCAATCCATAATCTCAGTTTGTTGTTAAGCCACGGACACGAACATGATCCAAATTGACTTTGCCCTGACAAAGACCGTCTTGCTGGTCGAAAAGCGTTGGCGTCCCTTCATGAAATAAAGGACTTTTAATATATTCCGATGGAGTGCCTCGGGTTTGTACCTTGCCCAGTTTTACATTTTCCAGTAAGGGTAAAGCACTCTACCTCTTTTTCTGCATCAGATGATCCAAACTTTTTTCGCAGTTGTTCCGATGATAATTAAGCAGCAGCTCAGAAATGTTCTCATCAAGCTTTACATCTGTCAGCTGAGAAGGAGAAGGAAAGAATGTCGGAGAAGGGAGGAAGAAGACTGCTCTACCTCAGCCCAATCCTGCATCCAACTTGCAAATCCAAAGAGCAGTGGATAAAAGTCTGAATCCAGGATTGGTGGAGCCCGAAGAAGAGCAACCCAACGAGCATGCGCTGAACAACCGGAATTATTTTTAAGAAGGAAACGTTTACATGATCGAGGAATAAATAAATTTGGCTTTAAACCACCCATTTACTTCGAATTAAGTTTAATCCCGAATAAGCATTTTCTTTAGGAATTGTGATTACATGGTCTTTTAAAAGTGGAATTAATTTCTTTTCATAATTAAATGCTTTTTCTTCGCTCTCATGTTCAAATACATGGGGAAAAAAATCAGGTTTAAGGGCATTTAAGTGGAATGCAAAACGTTCAGTGTTTTGACTCATTTTGCAGGTATCTTTTGTTTCGTTTCATAATGAGGTCATTGTGTTCGTGTTGTGGGACAGTAGTGCATGAGAAAAGCCACTGCATTTACTTCTAATGTAGCAGAAGACCCCAGTTTGGTCTTGGTTTAGTCCTAGTCTGGTCCTTTGTCTCGGCCTGTCCCTGCCGCTGGGGGACAATGGGCCTGGTGAATGGGGACCCCCTTCACGGTGGGAGGGGCAGAGCGGAGGGGCTGTGTGTAAATGAAGAGACTCTTATTATGATAATGTCCCACAGAAACGCCCCTGTCTTTAGCACAATCACGGGCAGCCATCTTGGACACCCCAGACAGATTCTACTGCATTTGTGTCACGTTCACCGCAGCGGGAAACTGTCTTTTTTATTCCAGCCGAGACAGAATAAATAGATACAATAAATACTACTACAGGAAGTACTACTAAAGAAATTCTACCACTACCTAATACTACCAGTAGTCCTAGTACCTACTACTACTCCTATTACTACTCCTACTACCTACTACTATTACTACTACTATCAAAAGTACTACCACCACCACTACCACTACTACTACTACTCCTACTACCTACTACTCCTACTATTTACTATTACTACCATTACTCCTACTACTACTACCACCACTACTATTACCACTACTACACTACTACTACTACCACTACCACTGCCACCACTACTCCTACTCCTACTATAACTACTACTATTACCACTACTACTACCACCACCACCATTACCACTACTACTACTACTACTACTACTACTACTACTACAACTACCACTACTCCTACTACTGCTACAACTACCACTACTACTACTCCTACTACTTACTACTACTACCACTACTACCACTACTACTACTCCTACTACTTCTACTACTACTACCACTCCTCCTCCTCCTACTACTACTACTACTACCTACAACCACTACTACTACTACTACCACTACCACGGCCACCACTACTACTACTCCTACTATAACTACTACTATTACCACTACTACTACCACCACTACCACTACTACTACAACTACCACTACTCCTACTACTACTACTACTACTACTACTACTACTACTACCACTACTACCACTACTACTACTCCTACTCCTACCACTACTACTACCTACTACCTACTACCACTACCACCATTACTACCACTACTCCTACTATGACTACTATTACTGTAACCATCACCACATCTACTACTACTATAACTACTACAACTACCACTACAACTACTCCTACTACCACCGTTACTGCTACTCCTTCTACTACCACTACTACTACTACAGTTCTACTACAATGCAAAAATTATTTCGTTATGAGCAGTAATTGGCCTGCGCTGATGCGAAAGGACCCGATAGGTGGAGGGCGACCAATGACAGAGCAGCACTCAGGTTTGAGCAGAGCCAAAGGTGAAGCGCCCACACAAACTAAAACCAAGATGGATAATTTGTGAAAAACAATGAGTGGGATGTGATTGTGCATTAGTGGACAGGGAAGATGTCTCTGCTTTTTTCTCAACTGGATTTAACTCAAGTTTTAAAGCTTTCTCAGATTCTTCTGCTGTTGTGACGCTTCAGCCAATCAGATTTGAATAATCGTCACGAGATTCCACCTTTTGTCTAATCTCTTTCAGTACTAGCTGTTCCAGATTTTGCTGGGTTTCAGATGACACACAACACTCTATAGGCCAATATTATTTAATACATGAAAAAATGAATATTATTTAGTCACTGCTGATTTTTGTTGTAATACAGCATGGTCTTGTGTCTGGTCACTATTAGAAATGATCAGGTTCCATACTTGTGAATTTAGCTTTTGTATATTTCATAGTACAATGTTATCAAGAGGGAAAACTATCTCTTGCCCCTCTTCTAGAATCTGAAAACCACCCATGATAAAAAAAACAACAACTTTGACCACTCCTCAGATGAGCTCATGCCGTTACACCTCTGGGCACAGAAACTCCACACTTTTTAATGAGCTTTATGGACTAATTTGGTTGCCTTGTATATTTTTTTCGTATCCTGTTTTTCCTTTTCACTATAGACTGGACTGTATTTGTGTCTGAAGTAAAGAATAAATACAGTAAATAATGTGCAGAAGTGATGCATACATCAATCTGGCATTAAGTTAGATGAGCAGCAGAAGACAGGCTAACCACTCTGCCACAGTAACACAGAGAGAACATGCAAACTCCACTCAGAGAGATCAACCCAAGTTCTTCTCCGTGTACTCGTCAAAGTGACAGATGGACAGATTGATATGTCAGTTCTGAATGAGCCCATAGACCACACAGACCCAAATAAAGACACGCAGTCTGGAGACCGTGACCTCTCCTCCCCGCTCTCGACCTCTGACCTCTGACCCCCTCGTCTTTCTTCTCAACAACGCCCGCTCGGTTCAGTCCACACTTTTCTTTTTTATCATCAAAGAGCAAGAAATACAGTGGAAAGGATTGACTTCAAAATTTTACTTTTCCTCCTTCATCTGACCCTCTCCTCTTCATCCTCTGCTTCATCTGACCCTCTCCTCTTCATCCTCTGCTCCATCTGACCCTCTCCTCTTCATCCTCTGCTCCATCTGACCCTCTCCTCTTCATTCCTCTGCTCCATCTGACCCCTATCCTCTTCACCCTCTGCTCCTTCTGACCCTCTCCTCTTCATCCTCTCCTCCATTTGACCCTCTCCTCTTCATCCTCTGCTCCATCTGACCCTATCCTCTTCACCCTCTGCTCCTTCTGACCCTCTCCTCTTCATTCTCTGCTTCATCTGACCCTCTCCTCTTCATCCTCTCCTCCATTTGACCTCTCCCTCTTCATCCTCTGCTCCATCTGACCCTCTCCTCTTCATCCTCTCTCCATCCATCTGCTCCATCTGACCCTCTCCTCT